AGCTGCTCGGAACGATTGCAGAAAAGCTTCACGGAATACAGCGACAAGTCAACCTGCTTCACGACAACGCGCGTCGGCGCGGGTGTTCGGTCTCAAGCCACAAGATTCTGAAGCTAGGCAGGACCGCGGCTGCCCGTCTGCCATATTCGTCAAACCTATCCATACACGTCTTCCACCTTTCCTGCTCGCTTGCTCATTACCTGGAGAACAGGAAAGCTCGACGACGAAAGGACGCAAATCCGACTTCAAAAGTTGTTTGACAAAAATTCTCCTAATTTCTACAAATGTGGTGTCAGCCAATTGCCCGAAGGTTGGCGTAGTATTGCTAAGTCTGATGGTCAATATGTTCCGGGTCTTAGAAAAAACAAAGGATAAAAAATAAATTCAAAATTTCGGCTGTGGGATGTTTCAGAACTTTTTTCCAACCTAATATAATTTGACTTTTCCAACTGACCGTTTTATCGTGGTCCTCTTTTTGAATCAGGCTTTTTCCATTAAAACTACATGTTTTCACATCATTTCATGAGTCATTCAAAAATGCTTTCTCTGCTTTTTTTGAATTCATTTTATGCTTTTCCATTCTTCACGGTTCCAGAAGAAATACATAGTCTTGCGTAATAACGGGTAGACAGTGAGAATGGCACCACTGCTTCAATTTTTTTTCTGAAAATGCCAAAAAAACTCATCCAGTGATGTGCCCCGTATTTTGTTACGACTGGTACGAAGCGTTCCGGCAGTTTTTCAATGTACCGGCATTTAAAAATTTTCGGGTCTAGATTTGACGATATAGCGATACCCACCCAGTTCTACCTGATAACCGAACTTTGAGAAAGGAAGACACGACTGTCGGACAGTTCAGCAGTGGGATGCTGAGCAGAGGTTCGGACCACGTGCTATTATACGTGCTGCATAATGACTTTTTTGTGCAGGATAATAGAGTTTGCGTCAGATACCAATGTGGTTCATACTCGTTGACTGGAGATTTACAAACTCGTAATTCAATCATTTCACAATTTGTTCAATAGAGCAGTGAATTCTCTTCCGATCAATATATAACGTTATGTAAAACGTGGAACGTTGGAGGTGAAACCATTTGAAAAAAAAACCACGCTACTTATCGGACAACCTAACAGTTATCTGAAAGAAAGTGTTGGCATTTTCGACCATTAGGAAGGTTGGAAAATATCTGCGGTTGTTTCCTTTGAAGTTTTTGGTTCAGTGTGTCTCTTTGAAAACTTAATTTATTCTCCTTTCCAAGACAAGATCAGCAATGTCAATAGAGCAATGTTACTTTTGTTATTTTAGCGATTTTTAGTGAATTTTATTTACAGTGCGATTAACAATGACCATAATTGCCACTAATTTCTTCCTATGGATGCCATTCTGCCTAGTCAACATGATTCAAGCATTCAAACCTGGAGCACTAAGTGAGTTCCGCTCTTGATTTATTCTTTTCTCTTAGAACCTGGCTAGAAGGTGGACTTGGCGACACCGCTTGCCGGTGTAAGGGCTTTCGGCGAACGGTCAAGTGTCCATTGTACCAAATTCAATGAGAGGGGTCGAATTTGGCTAAGAACAGGTATTTGAATGCCACTGCGACCTTTATCTGAGGCGAATGCATGGCGCATCCCGGAACAGGAATTGTTGCTGAAAAGCGCTCCACATTTAAGTGAGCGTGAGCAAACAGATCCTTCCAGAACACCCAATGCTTATAGAAGAAACCAAGTGCAATAAAAATGAATGAATGAAATAACTGGATCAGAGATCGGCCTTTGCAGACCTAGCAAAAATTCTGATGAGCGGACAGTTTCTTATTTATTTTCCAATTTCCAATTTAGACGTTTTAACGAGAAATCACTGCATCATAGTGCACTGACTGCACCTTCCGGAGTTTCCACCCCTTCATCTAAGGGCAATATTGAAGATTGTTATGGTCACTCTAAATATGAGAACTTGCTTACCACGGATTATTACGAATAACACATACAGCAAAAGAAGCGTAACGGGACTTTCAAAACATCGACTGAAGCCCTACTCATTTAGTTCCTCTTGCTTTAACAATTTGAGGAGTTGACTCTAAAGGAAATTGCTAGCCTCACTAAAATCGATTCGCAACTCATCAACATGGCTGGTTTTTCGGAAAAAAGTTGGAGCTTTTCTGCTGGCTCTTATCTTGCAGTTTCGTTCCAACCTCAAAATTTGAGAACGGTGGAAGCTGCTACACTTTGATGGTTCCTATCAACTGCTTCGTAATTCTGCTTGCGTGCTTAATGAACGCAACTACTACTTCTTCGTTGTGTGTGGGCGATTTGAGTCTTCCACAGTGGTGTGTCCTTCTGCTGGAGCCGAGTCCTGCTGTGAGAGGCTGCACCGAATATTGATCCACAGATTTATTAGTGAGTACAGTGAAAACAATAAGGCAGGACAGGGCACTGGGGAGGTCCAGAGGCAGGTTGAGACAACACACGAAGACAATACACGAATGCCCTCAGCCTGTCGACCCAGGGTTTATATAGGCGGTTTTCCCGCACGATCATGATATCGATAAGATCATCATATTGTGATTACGTGATCATCAATACACACAACACCTCCCCCAGTAGAAAGAGTAAGAACAACACAATTAACTTTCTACTCCTACAAATCAGAAAATGCAAACAAACACTCAACAATCAAACTAACGCAATGTATCTGGATATCTGTGTACCGGTCTTCTTATCCTCTTCGAGCGTCGCAGTGGCACATCGGCTTGGGTTTGTCGTTCTGGAGCAGCCGCGTCCGTAGGTCGTGTAGTCTCTTCACGTCGCTTCCACACGTCGTCCAATTCGAGCGTCTCGATTAGAGTCAGCAACGACTTGTCTTCATAACTGTAGGGTGCCTTCGCATTACGACGGCGTAACTGATTTGCGTGCTTCTTCGCTACCCTTCCATTCAGGTCGACTTCGTAGTTAACTTTGCCGATTCGCCTGATGATAATGCCTTCTTTCCATATAAACTGTGGCGCTTTCCATATCTGAGCGTAAACTGCTTCGCCAACTTCGAATTCCTTCGGGACAGCATTGTTTCTTCTGTTGAACTGTTCTATCATTTTCTTCCGGTTTACTTCAGACGGTGGCGTGGGTGAATTTTCTATCGGAAGTAGTAGACTCAGCCGTGTGCGAAGTTTTCTTCCTAGAAACACTTCTGCTGGTGTCCTATTGTTCAAATATCGTTCGGAGTTGTTCGGTATGCTTGAAGAATCACATTCAGCGTTTCTTCCGACGGCTTCTCCTCCCCCTCGAGTTTCTTGATACCTCGTTTTAGTGTGTCCACGAACCGTTCGGCTTGTCCGTTCGACTGCGGATGATAAGGAGCAGTTCTCATGTGTCTTATTCCTCCTTCTTCGCACATCGTCTTGAACTGTGCTGACGTAAATTGGGTTCCATTGTCGCTGACGATGGTTTGCGGGATTCCATATCTTGCAAACATTTTCTTCAGTTCCTTCACCGTCTGGCTTGCAGAGATACTTGTCATCTCTATGATTTCCGGCCATTTGCTGAAAGCATCTATTAGGTTGTCTCATAAATAGTGTCGCTTTTTTTCAACCAAAAAATTTTCATCTAAATCCCCATGCTTTTACATCGAGTCATATACCATTCGAAAGAGAATTGTCTGCTCTACAAATATGTGTTCTTCTTCCATCTATGTTCCATGGTTTTCAAATTTTAGGCCTGCGAAATGGGAGGTCCGCCGACAAAAATTGACCAAACCGACAACTAGCTCTAACTTTATGTTCCCTTCGGAGAAATCAATCAATGATGTACCCTCTACTTATGCATGACCTCTTCTAAACATTACACTATTAGGTTTCCCAACAAGTCGCGTCATTCCATTTCCAGACCTGGTTTTTCAACCAGAACTCGACGGTTGAGCACCATTACCTGAGATCGAGGTCGAAATTTTTTTACAGCCGAGACATTGAAAAACTAGTAGAATTTCAAGAACAAGTCGTGACTAAGTTAGGAATGTACGCCTGGTTGGATTTTCTCATCTCCTCAAGGATAATTTCTTTCAAAGAAATGCGGTCACTTTTGTGGACAAAGCACCTTACTCCTAAACCCTAAAATTCGAGCTAATTCCTAACAAACATCAAAACAAAACAAATGAGCGAATAGAGCAGAAGAAGTGCTCACAAAAGATATACCAGTTGATATAAAACAATAGCGTTTCAGAGGAAGAATTTCAATTTGAAAATTGCCATGACTTATCGGTCGGCCAATTCGAAAAGAAACAGGGCAAACCTTTTTCGGCAACCTAAGGGTGGAATGTTCAGAAGAGGTCATGAGTAAGTAGAGGGTACATCATTGATTGATTTCTCCGAAGGGAACATAAAGTTAGAGCTAGTTGTCGGTTTGGTCAATTTTTGTCGGCGGGACCTCCCATTTCGCATGCCTCAAATTTGAAAAACATTGAACATAGATGGAAGAAGAACACGATATTGTAGAGCAGACAATTCTCTTTGAATGGTTTATAACTCTCTGTAAAGCATG